AAAACCTGTACAAGCAGAATAAATCATTATTAAGTGAAGTGCAAGGAATAAAAAGCAGTAATACTAAAGAGAAGAGGTTCCAATGGCATTTACTTTGTCTGCTGATAACTGAGTTGTTCAGGTGAGGGACTACTTTGTCACATACAAAATCCCTTGCTCAGATGGTCCTGGATCCAGGTGCCAAAGTAACACTAATAACTGAAACCAAAAATTTTCTCAGGTTTCCTACATTCATCAAGAAGGGAGAAGGATGCCGGAGCAAGGCTTTGCTACACCGAGGGCAAAAGTTAACTTAAGGCAGCCGGAACACGGAGTAGGACACTCAACTAACAATTAGGGATCTCCGCTCATCTATCTCTTTGTGCGCTCTTAGTGCCCTTAGGAAATCCGTTACGGAACTAAATATGACTCCTTTGCCATAAATGACAGTGTTAAGTATAAATGCAGGGCACCAGATTCACAGCTGTAGCAATGGGTACCGAAAGAACCTTATAATACATCCTCCATTAAAAACTAAAATATAACGTGCATTGCAATAAAAGGTAAGAGATTATCGAAATGGGGCATTGCCTGCGGTGATGACCTGCAATCACTTGCAAGGTAAGACCCAGAAGAGCCGGACAACGAGAGTTACGATTCCAAGCAATCCCGTCTGCTGTACGACAGTGCACCAAAGAGAAAGTGCCAACATTTGCAAACAGACCTTTTCTGTCTTGGCTTGTAGAAGTTTGGGTCTGTTGCATGAACGCAGAGATTTTAATAGGTTGTTCTTCTACTTAGCCAACTAAAAAAACCAAATTGCTAGTTGTGAAACTAGAAAACCTGCTGGAAGTCCTTCACTGAATGGGAAATAAACGCTGCAGTTAGGTACTGCACCTGCAAACACACAGGAAAGTTTACCCTATGCAACTTTAGGAACATGTAACTTTGGGAGCCCTGATTCGCTTTCGTAGGTTTCTGACAATGCCAATGGTGAGACAAAGTGTGCCGTAAACTGCAAATTACAGCCTCCGTTAACCGTGTCAGGTGCCCGGCTAAATTTGCCAGCATAAATGTATGAAGTTAGCAAGACTTCCCTGCAGCCCGTAGCCGAGCATCACCAAAAGACTGGTCACTGGACATCCTGTCTTCTCCCTTCTTCCTTTTTTTTTCCCCCTCAATGCATCAAACAACCGGGTTTCAACGCAGCCTAGCCACAAATTCTGGAGTTTTAACATTCTGCCATTTGTCACTTAAAAACAAACAAAAAAAACCCCCCAAAACCACACAAAAACTTGGTGCGACTACTCTATTTCTCACCACTTAAAGACACCACAGGGCATTTCGAAAACCTCCAAAACCACCCCCCAGGGCTCCTTTCAAGTCAGCAGCCCCTAATAGGGGCTCACGGCAGGGTCTGCACCTCG